GTTGTTTATATGAGATAGCAAGTTTTATTCCTAGGTATTTTAAATCTTTTTCTCTCCATGTAAAGGGGAACTTTTTTGTAGCTTTTCCTTTTCACTCTTTGGTACGTTAATGTTCAAGATCTCTGTTTTTGTTGGGTTAATTTTTAAATTGATAAATCGCCATATTCCTTCAAGATCTTCATTATATTAGGTAATGTTATTCGAGGGTTGTCTACATAAAACAATAGGTCGTCCGCGAAGGCCGCAACTTTTTGTTCTATATTTTCTATCTGGATTCCCTTTACCGCTCCACTATTCCTTATCGTAGACAGCAGGGGTTCCAATGACAGAACCAAACAGCAAGGGGGACAGTGGGCAGCCCTGTCTTGTTCCATTGGACATTCCAATGGATTCCGACCTCTCCCCATTTACCGTGATAATTGCGGTGGGCTCTCTATATAGTTTACCTATCCACTCACGCATTCTCTTTCCAATCCCCAACACTTCTAAGTTGTCCATCATGAAGGCCCAGTCCACTCTATCGAACGCCTTCTCGGCATCAATCGACAGTAGTACCGCCGGGGCCTTCCCTTTTCTACTTTTCTGAATGAGCATCAGAGTTCTCAACCCGTTGTCTCTACCCTCTCTCCCTGGGACAAAGCCCACCTGATCTCCGTGAATCCATTCAGGCATTAGATCTTTCAGCCTATTTGCTAGGACCTTTGCGTACAACTTAGTATCGGTGTTCAATAGTGAAATTGGTCTATAACTAGAACACTGGGAAGGGTCTTTTCCCTCCTTTTGAATGAGTACAACATGGGCCTGAAGAGATTCTCTTCTACCCTCCATCCCTCCTCCCAGTTCATTCATATACTTCTTCAGCTTAGGTAACAATATTTCACTATATTTTTTTATAGTACTTAACTGTACACCCATCCGGACCTGGACTTTTTCCACCCCCTGTACTTTTTAATGCTACTTTTATTTCATCCTGGGAAATTTTCCGCATCCAAGGCATTCAATTGTATTTCACTTAACTTTGGTAATGCTGCATTTTTTAAATATATCATCCTTTTTTCATTAATATCCTTTACATTTTCCTTTAAAGAGCCATGGGGGCTAATATACAGTTTTCTATAGTATTCCGTGAATACTTTAATAATCCCTTTGGTTGAATAAACCAACTCTCCTTTAGAATTTTTTATCCTTTCTATATAATTTCTATTTTTCTTTTTATTCAGAGCTCTCATTAAATATTTTCCTGGTCTGTCGCCCCATCTATATCTTTCATTTAGTACTTTGTTATATACTCTTCTCCTCTCTTCGTCCATCAATCTCTCTAATTCATCTTTTTTATCCATTAACTTCTGTCTTATTTCTCTTGTTATTTTCTTCTTTTGCATCTGCTCTAGATCCAGGATTTCTTTTAGGAGCCCACTAACCTCTCTCTTCTTTCTCTTTTCTTCCTTGCTCCCATCGCAATCAGGATACCTCTTATATATGCCTTGTGACTTTCCCATACTGTGGCTGTCGATACTTCCTCTGTCTCATTCTCCTTAAAATATAGCTTGATCTCTTCCCCAATCTTCTGAGCTATGTCCTCATCCAAAAGAAGGGCCTCATTTAACCTCCATCCTAAACCTCCCGTCCACCGTCTTCCACATCCCATTTTCATTGTGACAGGGGCATGATCCGAGAATGTACTCATCTACTATTTCTATTTTAACCAATAGCTCTATGAGTTGATGATCTATCAAAATATAATCCAACCTCGAATATATCTCATGTGCCTTAGAGAAGAAGGTGTAGTCTCTGTCTTTCATATGCATTATTCTCCAAGTGTCCACCAGTTGGTACTCGTGGATCGCTTTCTTCAAAGCTCTCAGAGACCCACCCCCCTCTCTCCGCACAGGGGAGGTTGCATCCTTTTGGGGATCCATGCAGAGATTTAAGTCTCCTGCTACTATCAAACGCCCTTTTTTAAAGTCCATCAGTTTTTTTCAACAGACCCTTCAAATAGATCTCCGGCTTTTTGTTGGGGCAATATATATTGGCTAATGTACACTCGATTCCCTGTAATTTACCTTTCAAAAATAGGAATCTCCCCTCCGGATCAGTTCTTCTATCCTCCAGCTCGAATCTCATGTTCTTTGCCAACCCTATTGCCACCCCTTTTGCTCTTTTAATTGGGGAGTCAGCGTAATACCATGTTGGATAATATTTAGATTTTAATTTCACATTTGACTCTATCTCAAAATGTCTTTCCTGTAAAAATACCACTGACGTTGCCCTGTGGTGTAACTCTTTAAACTTAAATCTTTTCCCAGGACAGTTCAACCCGTTCACATTATATGTTATAACCTGTATTTCTTCCATCCTTCTTAAATCTGTCTATCTCTCTTCTAATAAACCTCTTTCTATTAGGCCCTTCTATCGTGCAACATTTTAACCCCACCTCCCCTCCCCCCTCATCCTCCCCCCCAACCCCCATCTCCCATTCCCACCCCTCCTCCCTCCCCCCCTCTCTTCTTTTTCCCTTTACCCGTTTTTAGGCTTATAAACTGCCTGAAAATCATTTGTGGATCTATTTCCACCTTTGATTTAAAACTTAGGGCGTAAGCTCCGCCCATGGACAGCTCTCCTCTCCTCCGACCCCCCCAGATCTCTTCTCTCTAACGTCCAGGCTCAAGAAGAATCTTAACTTCCCTCCCTTCACCAGAGTGTTCTGAAGGACCTCAACATCCGGAGGGGAGAGACCAGGGGCGAGAGATGGAAGCAGGAGAGAGAAAAAAAAACAAAAAAAACAGAAGAAGAAAAACACATAATTTCTACTTAATTCTCCCTCCCTTCCCTCCCCAACCCCAAAATCTCCCTCCCCCTCCCTCCGACCCGCTGCCAGTCCTCTTTCCTAGTAACATCTGTATCTCCTTTATCTTCTTCTTCTTCTTCCCACCCCGCCATCTCCATTCTTTGCAAATCCAGTCTCTCGCAAAAGTCCCTTAGTTCCTCCGGAAATCTCAAGTAGGCTGTGACCCCGTTTTTTCCAGCTAATCAGAGATGCTGAGATACCCCATCTATACTGCACATTCTGTTTCCTCATTTGCTCCAACAGGGGTCTCAGGGATCTCCTTCTCCATAGGGTCTCTGCTGTTAAGTCTGCATAAATTTGGATAGTCAAATCTCCATACTTAATTAATGATCTTCCCTTGGTCTTCTTCCAAATCTCTTCTTTGACCCCAAATTTTTGGAACTGTACAATTATGTCTCTCGGTCTTTCCTTCTCAGTAGCCTGTTTGAGCTTTCCTATTCTAAACACTCCGTCTAAGTTGATCCCGTCTGTTTCAGGTCTATCTCTTATGGAGTTCAAAATTTTTTTCACTAGTTCATATAGTGTTTCGCGCCTTTTGCAGTCTCTGGAATTCCTCGTACCCTAAGGTTACACCTTCTTTCTTTTATTTTCTTGGGCTTCCATCCTATAGGTCAATTTTTTCTGAGTGTTTTCCAATTGGTTTATTTTTTTCCTTAAGTTATCAAAGTTTTGGGCCTGAATTTTAACTTTCTCCTCTGTTTCTTCTATTCTTGATAGCAGGTGCCCTAGGTCATTACGAATAGCTGTCATTTCATGTTTTATAATTTTTTCAGGTTCTGAAACATTTCTATCATCTCCTTGTTTGGTGCTTGTAGTTCCCCATCTGGTTCTGGTTTTTTTCCCGAACCATCCTCTATTTGTTGGCTGCAGCTGCTATTCATGCCCAATGATAATCTCGGACTATTACCTGAACTAATGTCCATTTCCCCTTTTGTGCTTGTGCCCTGGGCCCTTTCTGGCGTAATATTTCCATATGATGTAAATTTCTTTATTGTTCCTGTTTGAGACCCTTTGGGCCCCTGCTGCCTTGGGACCCTTATTCTTCATGTCCTCTGTGAAATTTCTGTTATTAAATTTTTTTATTTTTTTTTTCTTTCTATATCCTCAAGATGGAATTGTACCTCTCTCCTTTATAATTTCTGGACCAGATAAACTTGCAATTTTTTATGTTTTATTTTCCTAGGACACCTGGGCCTCCTCTCCTTTCCTCTTCTAACCCCTGGAAATCCTCCCCTCCCCTTTCACCACCTGGTCTCCTATGTCACTCTGGGGTCCACAACACAGCAACACAGTAAGTCCCCAGTAGTTCTCACTCACACCCTTCCCTTCTCAAGACGGTAGCTCCATGCTTGTACGGAGGGCCATCACTGCTGCTTAGTCCTGGGGGGGGGGGGGGATTTCTCAGGGTTTCCGATGTTGTGTTGTTTTTCTTTCCCTCTTATTTTCCTTTCCTTTTCCTCTCTTCTTCTTTTCCTTCTTAGGGTTTTGTCCCAAGGAGGCAGGATGAGTTTCCTGGTATTCCTGGCTCCACCAGGCCCAGGTGCGGACAGCCAGCTAGGTAGGGGGGTATAGGCAGCAGTGAGCGTCTCCCTGTCACATCGGGGAGGCAGCCGGCTTCCAATTTCACACGACTCTCCCCCTGTCCGCCGGCGGCCGGCGTCCCTGCTTCCCAGGGATGCAACCGCGGCTGGTCACGTGCCCTGGCCGCGCGCCTCCTCGTCTCCCGGCAACCAGGCTCAGCGTCCCAGTCTCTCTCCACTGCTCTCGGCTCCAACCGCGCACCGCTGCCCATCAAAGAAAGCCCACCAGGCCGAGGTATATCTCTGCCATCTAGGGCTCCATACCGCTGGGGGGAATTAAGACCGAAAATAGGGGGGGTCGGTCAGAGAGGACTCGTGCTAGAGCTCCTAGCTCGAGCTCTCCGCCGCCGCCATCGTCAGGCTCCGCCCCGGAACTCCCCCAGTCAGTTGGGTGGAGGAATTAATCTGTTAGTAGGTCCCTGAAGTTCCACTTGAAATCAGCACCTTTTTCTTAAAGGATGATGTGGAAACCAACTTGCTTGTTTGACACACAGACATCCTTGATAAAATATCTTGAATCTAATCTTTATTTTAAGTTTTTATAATACAGTATCTTTCATGTTAATGCTTACTTTAAGAGCTCGTAGTTCTTCTCATTTAATCTTGCAGCATTCTCTCTCCAGAATTTCTCCGATTTGTGCACTGGGCTCCATTCCAGCCTTCCCGACTTCAGCTCGGAACTGTACTCATCAAATGAGCTGCATGGGGGGAAAAAAAAGCCATTAAACTGTAACTACTGCTGTTCAGAAGATTTATAGATACAAAGAAATATACTGCCAGGGTGGCACTGTACTATACATCCACAACTTGTATAATCAATCAGTATATTTTGCAATTCAACACAACTGGTAACGTGAAGATATACATATTTGTTAACCTTCAACTACAGGTTGAAACAGTGAATGAATGCAAAGACACAATTCTATCACTGTGATAAAACACTCACTTGTATTTGGATGACTGTGGTAGTTCAAACTCTTGCAGACGATAATGCGCACACACCCAACAACAATACAACAAACTCTGTAGCCAGGCTACATTTAAAAGTGGTGGCTAACCCTTACATATACCCAGTGAAGTGACTGATACACAAACCTACATAACCTGTTTATCTGAAGTCATTTCTTCTCTACAGCCATCCAAAGTGCAGAATTTATAAAGCTTATCTGAGCTTCCAGAAAGCAGAGGGTGGGGAGCTGAAGTTACATTCTGCAGAGCTCAGTGAGAAGAGCTGAGAACTGACTGGAGGGAAAGGACACAGACCCTTCACACACCACATAGAAACAGAGCTGAGGCTGTCAATCACAGATTGTCTGCTGGAGGTCCCTACTGTCACCATTTTACATCTTGGTGTCAGGAAAACTTGTGACTAGTAACTCATGCAGATAACAAAGGAATGAGGCAACAGAGAAATGATACCTAGTGCTCTGGATTAAGATAAGTACACACTATAGAGGGACATGCTTTTGTTCTATGTTTTATGTCTGAGGTTTACAACCATTTTAAAGTTTAACAATCAAGAGATCTTATTTTAAACCAAATTAGAACAAATATTTGTTGGTTTGTATATGGATTTCAAATCAGCCCTGTACGTTGCAGAGAATTAGATGATATAGAAATACAAGTACATATGAAGAGTAACTATGAACAAGCCATTCTACATCAAGGCCAGGGGCATTTTGTAATTTTTTTTTTTTTTCAGATTTATAAGCCGTTATGCTGTTTAATGAAGTTGACAAGCTCTGCATTAAAACATTACTGTGACCACTTCTAAAATAACTTGTATTATTAACACTCCTCTTTGTCCATCTTTTACTGCAAAAATTATACAGACGCAATGTGCTTACTAGTTGTAAATACTAAGTAACCAATTGCCACCTTTTTACAGTACATTTACTGTGGGTAGGCGGCAACTACAGGCTAAGCAGCGGATCATGGTGCTCAGTACCTGGCCACTGTGTGCCTGGGTATCATGTGTTCACTATGACCAATCATAATGATCACATGATTTCAATATAAGAAAACATACAGTGGATATAAAAAGTCTACACACCCCTATTAAAAATGTCAGGTTTCTGTGATGTAAAAAAATGAGACAAAGATAAATCATTTCAGAACTTTTTCCACCTTTAATGTGATCTATAAACTGTACAACTCAATTAAAAAACAAACTGAAATCTTTTAGTGGGGCGTGGGGGAGGGGGGTAAACATAAAAAAACTAAAAATGTGGTTGCATAAGCGTGCACACCCTCTTATAACTGGGGATGTAGTGTTCAGAATTAAGCAATCACATTCAAAATCATGTTAAATAGGAGTTAGTACTCACTTGCCATTATTTAAAGTGCCTCTGATTAACCCAAAATAAAGCTCAGCTGTTCTAGTAGGTCTTTCCTGACATTTTCTTAGTCGCATCCTACAGCAAAAGCCATGGTTCTAAGAGAGCTTCCAAAGCATCAGAGGGATCTCATTGTTAAAAGGTATCAGTCAGAAGAAGGGTACAAAAGAATTTCCAAGGTATTAGATATACCATGGAACACAGGGAAGACAGTCATCATCAAGTGGAGAAAATATGGTGCAACAGTGACATTACCAGAACTGTACGTCCCTCCAAAATTGCTAAAAAGATGAGATGATAACTGGTCCATGGGGGCTGCCAAGATGCCTACAGAAACATAAAAGGAGCTGCAGGAATATCTGGCAAGTACTGGCTGTGTGGTTAGTGTGACAACAATCTCCCGTATTCTTCATATGTCTGGGCTATGGGGTAGAGTGGCAAGATGAAAGTCTTTTCTTATGAAGAAACACATCCTGACAAGCCTGACTAAATTTTGCAAAAACACATCTGAAGTCTCCCAAAAGCATGTGGGAAAATATGTTCTGATTTGATGAAACCAAGGTTGAACTTTTTGTCCATAATTCCAAAAGATATGTTTGGTGCAAAAACAACACTGCACATCACCGAAAGAACGCCATACCCACAGTGAAGCATGGTGGTGGCAGCATCATGCTTTGGGGCTGTTTTTCTTCAGCTGGAACTGGGGCCTTAGTGAAGGTAGAGGGAATTATGAACAGTTCCAAATACCAATCAATATTGGTACAAAACCTTCAGGCTTCTGCTAGAAATGAATCTTTCAGCATGACAACGACCCAAAGCATACATCCAAATCAGCAAAGGAATGGCTTCACCAGAAAATTATTAAAGTTTAGGAATGGCCCCAGCCAGAGCCCAGACCTGAATCCCACTGAAAATCTGTGGGGTGATCTGCAAAGAGCTGTGCACAGGAGATGCCCTCACAATCTGTCAGATTTGGAGTGTTATTGCAAGGAAGAGTGGGCAAATATTGCCAAGTCAAGATGTGCCATGCTGACAGACTCATACCCAAAAAGACTGAGTGCTGGAATCAAATCAAAAGGTGCATAAGTGTGCACACCCTTATACTAATACTTTGTTGAAGCAACCATATTATTTTAGTCTTTTATTTCTACTTCCCTCCACCTAAAAGATTTCAGTTTGCTGTTCAACTGAGCCGTACAGTTTATAGGTTATATTAATAGGTGGAAAAAGTTCTGAAATTATTTATCGTTGTCTAATTTTTTTACATCACAGACATCTGACATTTTAATAGGGGTGTGTAGACTTTTTATATCCACAGTATATGTCCCTGATCACCACCACACCAGTCATATAATGACGCTGTACTGCACTGATGTCATTATGTAAAAAAAAAAAAAAAAAAAAAAAGTAAAAATATTTTAATTCTTCATTTTCCAAAAAATTGTGACAAAAATCCAAACTAAATACAGTCTCTACTTTCCAAAAGGGGTAATTTGTGGGGTATTAGTACTATCCTGGCATTTTATGGCCTCAAGAATCTAGGTAGGCTATCAGTACATTAATATTGATGAATTTTCAAATATATATACCATAGTTTGCAGACTAATTTTCACACAGACTAAATAATAAACACTGATTTGGGTTATTTTTACCAAAGAAATGTAGCAGACTGCATTTTGGTATAAATTTATGAAGGGTCTGCCAAAGGGTCTTGATACTATATACAAGAGGTTTGCTTGCTAAACCAGCAGGGGCTCGCCCCCTGGGGCAAGCCGGTTTCCCCTTTTGGGTGCTTCTGTATCCGCACCCAGGACCTATATTTTAACCATCTACGTCCCATATTCTCGTGTCCACATTAGACAGCATATTTATATTTACACTACATGTAAGGTTAATGGTAATTTAAGTTTATACTATGTGAAGCTTATACTGTTTTGTACTTTATATTTTAGAGGAAGCAAAAATCTTTGCGAAATGCTCTGGCTTATAGGTATGGAGAGTTTATGGATACAGATATAGAGGACTGAAAGTCAAATGAAGTTATTGATATGCTCTCTACATTACAACAAGACTTTGTTCCCAATAATTTTGTATATATTTTGAAAATGTGGCACGGAGAGGGTCCATGTGCTGTGTAAGATTATCAAGTTGTTGTTTTACAATTAACAAGTTCACAGAACAACATGCACCCTCCAAGGCCTGTACATACCATCCATACATTCCCCTGCTGTCTTGTTCCTGACAAAACTTCCAAAAATAAACATTTTGGGTTAGCTTAGAGCTTACATACAGTAGCACGCAGTCCCATAGCTTTGTCTCAATACTTGGATCTGATAATAGGCCATTTAGGTACCCAACAATAAATTGTGGGAGGCAGGGGAAAAGTGTCAAATGATCGCTCATAACTGGAAGTGCCATAATTTGCTGGGGCTCTTGAAGGTGAGCAATGTAGTATGAATCTCAGGGAAGGCAAGAAAAAGTAAGGAACATTTGCCTGATATCCAGCAATGCTCTGCTATGAATGTGAGAACTATGGATTTATCTTAAAACAAAAAATGCTTCACTGACTTTTAATTATATTGTAATAACCAAAATGCATACTAACATGTGATGAAGTTTCTAAAAATGATTTTATCGGGGATCCTGGAGTTTTTAAAATAATAAGACCAGAAACAATGTGAAGGCATAAGAACGAACTGAAAAAAAAATAATAATGTACTTTAAATGCTTATTTACCTGTAATGAGCACAGGTAATATAAATGTACTATGGAAACTAAGATGATGAACTGCAATGTTTACAAGGTCTGAACAACACTAACAAAGACAAATTGTTCTCTCTCAAGTGACCAGCAAACATGTCCATTTGTAAAATAAGTGTGCTTCCCCTTAACAGCACTTATCAGAAATCTAGTCATATTTATAACTTTTTGTTCCAGCCTAGAGTTGAAAAGCCACTTAATAGTAAAACCTATGCTACCTGAAATCATCTAAACATCTGAGGCCAGTTAAAAAGAATTGGGTATTGCTAGGAATATTAAAAGATCTCCAGCTTTCAAAAAGCAGCTCATGTCTGCTGAAAGTGGTGCAATCAATTCCGATTAAATATGCACATAACGCTACAAAGATTTTACTTTGTGAATACAGGACTTCAAGGTAATTAGTTATACAGTTCAAACAAAGTTCAGAATACATACATAGACTACTTGGGAGGAAGGTAAAGAGACCCTGTCATATTGCACTTTCCCAGTTTAATGTACCACTGAATACAATATATACACACATACACTAGATTTTTGTTGGCAGAAAGGATCCAGGGTTCTTAAAATACATACCAGGTTAAGATGTTACCTTATATATGGTTAATAGGTAATGTCAAAGGCCCACACCCCTGTTAAGAGATATAGCCTACTACTACTACTACTATGAATGCTGTTGAAGTTTGTAAACTTACTTTTAGTAGTTCCCCACACATTAACTTCCTTGAATTCTGTGACACATATTCAAGAAGAGCTCTAGTAATTTTGTGTTTATTAAAAGTCAGCAGCTACAAAAACTGTAGTTTGCGACTTTTAATAAACAGGCACTCGTGTGTCCCAGGATCCAGCAATGTACTAATGTTCTCAACCAAGCCATTCCTTCTCTTAGTATTCTGTCCCCGGGGCCCCCAGCTGTGACAGCTTGCGGCTTCACAGCCAAGTGCCCACTGCTCATGCACAAGCCACATATTGTGAATGGTCCCTCAGTCTTCTGGGACCTGTGGGGGGTGGTGGAGGTGATGGTGGAATGACTTCCAATCGTCTGGGCGGTTGGGTACCTGACCCCCCCCTCTCCTACACCCCCAAAAAAAAACCTTTCATTTGTTGAGGGGGGGGAGGAGGCCTTAAACTGGGACTTCCCCTTTTGGGTGGAGCTCTGCTTTCATTATGTCCTGTGAGTAGGTACTGCTGTGTCACAGAATTCACAGAGCCTGCCTTTCAAACTACAGGGGTGCTGAGGAGAAGGAGTTTGAGGAGATTAAGTCAGAACAGGAATCACAGCATGCAGACAGCAAAGTATCATGTGATATGTAGTCCTTGGCAATTTAAAGTAAATAGCAGAGACAAAATCTGCAAAGCACGCAGGGAATCCAGGAAGTTGAAGAAAGAGATGGCCAGCAGACAGGCAGCACTCACAACATGAAATTAGATTTTTCAAGTAAGATTATTTTGGATTTTAAATATCATAGCCTATCTCACCATTATAGGTTATTTCATAATAGAGTCCATCATCTTCATTGGTGTTCTGTGGCATAGACAACATTAGAGCCCCCTGGCGTGGTGGCAATTTGGTTAAGTCTGTGTCACCGAATGAAACAAAATGGATCAGTTAGGTACGTTGGCACCTAGACAGTTGAATGTGGACAGTGATATAAATTGTTTCCTTTCCAATTGGTCCTATCTGGTTTTGCAAATATTTATGGTGTTTTGAGTATTTGTTTTATATATTTATTTTGATTGTAATATTTTTTTTCCATTTTCATTTATATTTTTTCTTATTTTAATTTTATTTAAATTTTTCATTATTTATTCATTTTTCATCATTCATTCTCTTTTTTTCCTTTCTTCTTTTTCTTTATTTTTATTATAGTTTTTTTTATTTATTTTTTGTGGGGATAATACATATTTTAAAGATATATAATTTTATTCCTTGTTTTTCATTAAAACTGCAGTTTTAAATTGTGGATATTTGTAATGAGCATTGTTGTTATCGAGTGAGGCTTAATAATAATGATATTTTTTGCAGTACTGGTAAATTAATAGATATCATCCTTAAATTTCAATCAACGTATGTGATATGTTGTAAAAGGATCCCGCATAAGAAATAGCTGACAGCTGAATTGTTTTGTTAATGGTATCTTTCCAATCGGGTATAAGGGGGAGGATCTCAAACTTACTATATTAAGGGTGAGGACCAGAATATTGTTGTCTGTGAAAATGCCATGGAGGGGCGAAACGCTTTGATGCATTTACGGCTTCGCCGTCCAACGTACCACATCACTTCGGGTGTGTAGAGCGCACACCGGTGTGCGGCGCTCTCAGGGGCCATCTTGCTAGAGGGTGGATTCTAACATGCTGTAATCTATCGCTGACTGTGAGATCTTTACCTTGGTGATGTGGTGTTTTTGGCTCCAGATAAATAATAAATGCTGATTACATTCTTTTAAGAGGAGAGTGGTTTGGTATTTGCATTCATCCTGTTTGAGTCTTGCAGAATTACACTATATACATTTTTTCTCTGCACCAATCATCTTCCTATGGCAAGTGATCTCTGGTAGTCCTGGAGGTTGAAGGCTGATTTAAACTACAGTTTGGAGTTCTGAGGCATATATCTTTACCTGCATTGGGGGATTTCCATCTTGACCTGGTGATTGGAGGCTGAGTTGAGGGGATCTAGAATTCCTGAGCCCATACATAAGGCATTTTTTTCACCAATATCTGGTGAGTGTGATATGTGATTTTAGCACAAACGGGTGTGAACACTGATCAAGGGTCTTGGAATAAGGACTTTCAAATTCATTCTACTCACCATATTCTATTTTTTGGAGTGGGGCTAATTAACAATCACATATTTTTCTTTGTATGATTTTTTTTTGTATTATTTATAATATTTTTTTAGTTATTTGCACTGTTTATGTTTTTTGTTATTTTATTAGTGTTGTCACTAAGGAGCAGCAGCATTTATTTGGGAATTATTTCACAATTATTTTTTGGCACTGGTGATTTTTTGTATACATTTTTTGGGTGCCAGCAATGCCTGCTGAAATCAGAAATTGGAAAGCAGAAGTTGGGGGTTACACCAGTGTTAATCCATTTCTAGCATCTTTAAAGTGAAGTATTTTTAGTATAAAGTCAATGATTTTACATACGAACAGCACAGGATATAGTCGAGAAAACATTTTTTTTTCCTATTTGCACAGCTTTGGAAGAATTATTATGAAAATTCTTTTTATATATATATATATATATATATATATATATATATATATATATATATATATATATATATATATATATATATGGGTGATGCAACAGGACAATGACCCAAAGCATACAAGTAATTCAACAAAACAATGGCTGCAACAGCACAGAATACGCCTTCTGGAGTGGCCCAGTCAGAGTCCTGACCTCAACCCCATTGAAATGCTGTGGCATGACCTTAAGAGAGCGATTCACACCAGACATCCCAAGAATATTGCTACACTGAAACAGTTTTGTGAAGAGAAGTGGTCCAAAATTACTCCAGATCGTTATGCAGGTCTGATCTGCAACTACAGGAAACGTTTGGTTGACGTTATTGCTGCCAAAGGAGGGTCAACCAGTTATTAAGTCCAAAGGTTCACATACTTTTTCCTCCCTGCACTGTGAATGTTTACATGTTATGTGCAATTAAACAATGGCAACATCTAATGTTTGTGTAGTATTATGTTCAGCAGACTGTGTTCTTCTATTGTTGTGACTTAGATGACGTTCAGAGCACATTTTATGCCCAATTCATGCAAAACTCCACGTAATCCCAAGGGGTTCACATACTTTTTCTTGCAACTGTAATTATTAGCTAGATGGATTATCAGGGCTAGTGTAGGAAAATACTCAAGAAGAGGTTCTATAAACAACTATACCACAGAATTAAATTTAGCAACCAGTCCAAGAGAGGACAGTTAGGTTCTGATCTCAAGCAGCTTTCACCTAATCAAGTTCCTGAGCCACAAACAAACTGAGATAAATTAAAAAAATATTCTTGGAAAACATTGTTAACCAGAAAAAGGTTTTACCAGGAAAGTATGTTAGGATATTATGTTGTCAGACAAAAGGATATTATTGACAAGCTCAGCTAAAATATGGATTTGACAACTCCCTTTACTTATCCTAATTATTAGCCGAGAGAGTAACCAAGCCATTAAAATAGTCAAATTAGGCCACCAATACTAACCTTAAATCTTGTACACTTTCTCCTAGTTTCTCCAAAAGAAATTTGATATCTTCAACAATGTCTTCATCATCATATTTCTGCTGTTCCAGGTTCTCAAGCTGCTTCAGCACTTTACACTGGATCATTGCCAGCGCATATTCTTGTCGAGTTTCTCTCTCAGTGGACTTTTCCAGCAGATTCTGCAATCAAAATAAAACCATTAAATGCTATTCTACAAAGGGAAGACACCTTTTGCAACACCAAATAAGTACATAAGATTGGAGAACAAAAGAGGTTTCTCTATATTTTGACAATGACTGAAGAAGGGAATTGTCTGAAAGAACAATCTGGGTGGTGGGGGAGGCTACACTGTCTTGATTAACTGCCCCTTACATAAAAAGCCTCAATTGTTACTCAATTGTTGAAATAATTCAGTGCTATAGTTAATATGTACTTGAATAATAAAAATAATATATATTAAAAAGGGAAATGCATTTGTAGGGTGGCCACACAAGAATATGTGGTCAATGCACTGTTTTGAAATTCTGCCAAAGAACCAACCATCTATATCTTTCACATTTGCCTATAAATATGTATATCGCAAAAAAACGTTAACATTATCAGTTTGATTTGGTAAATGAGTAGAGCATGCTTAATTTCAAAAGCATTTTAGTGAATGAGGTGAAAAAGTAAAATTCATATTGCAAACAATACTACAATCATGTGGAAGGCAAATTAAAAAAAAAAACAGGATTTTTGCTTGCTCATGACTGGATAACTGAAATCAGCACAACTTTACTTTATGAACTAAGCTAAGGGAAAAGTGAATGAAATTGTGATGACTTCAATTATCCAATCATGTGAAACCAAAAACAGTATTTTTTTTTTTTCCAACATAAATTTTCCTTGCATATGATTCTCTCTCTGCAAATTGAATTTTCACTTTGGAAGTGAAAATGTGCTACTTCTTTAGTAAATCAAGGTCAATGTTTGTGTAAATATATATGAAAGGAAAATTAAAACAGTTTGGATTCACATTACATTTTTGAAATGTTATAATTTTATCAAATCTGTGTTTATATATTTTTAATTATACATCATTTACATTACAAAAAAATATACAAATGATAGTTCTCTTTACTGACTACAGACTTGGGAGAAAGAATCAGACACTAAATGAAAGTAAAGGGGCGAGACCAATACCCATGCAATTTTTCTTTAGTATGTTAGTTTTCTTTTGAAACTAAAGCCTGTGCTTGTTTGGCTGCTGTAGATGACATTTCTACTTTTCCTTTCTTCAAAATGGACCTATATAAAAAAAAAGCAGTGGGCAAAAGCAGCATCTACTACCAATGCTATTAGGGTCAATTTTAATAAAAGTAATAAAAAAAAATGTGGCAGAAAATGCAAGAAAAGAGCTGCAAAGGGGAAAAAGTGTCAATTACCCCTTCAAAACACTGATTTTTTTTTTTTTGGGGTGGACACCTTCTACTACTTAAAAACAAGCACAATTAATGCACTTCCTCTTTCAATATAATTTTACCTTGCTTGCAATGGATGATGCTAAGATACAAAAGTAGATGCACTTTATTTCCATGCTTTTGTGCTACCTTCTTTTCAGTGTTGTTTTAAGACAATAATCTATTTATGTATTAGTCCATCTAGAAGTGGTGTAGAAAAGCAGCCTTAAATGTAATATCTGTATCTAATGCCTCCACCGCAGGATGGAAAAAGATGACAATAAATAAACCAGCCATTATGCCTTAAATCTTTAAGCTTCTGAATTTTAAATGTTTTCCTAAAGACTGTGTTTCCCTAAAGACTGTGTTTCTATAGTAACAAGAAATCCATTGAAGCATCCAATACTGGCTGTGTTGACCACGTTACAAAGTCATGATTTGAGGGACTTCTCATAAATCTGTAAACTTGACCTATAGATTACAATGAAAAATAGACATGCTGCCATGGTAGATAAATAGAGTCCCACTTGGCATTATTACAGGTAAGTGAGCAATGACTATTTTCTTAAGACACTCTTCATGCCGACTACACAATAGAAAGGTACACTGTAAAAAAAAAAAAAATCTCAGGAAATGATGTTACATTTTCAATCTGTCAACAAGGACCAGAACCAAGAAAATAAAAGCTCAATGAATAAAAGCAAAGGAGGTGACTTTGCAGCTGCCAAATTTACAAATTTAACCACCTGAGCTCTGGAAGGCTTTATCCCCCTTCATTACCAGGCCATTTTTGCTGTTTGGCACTGTGCTGCTTTAACTGACCATTGCATGGTCATGCAAAACTGTACGCTAATTAAATGTAACTCTTTTTTTCACACAAATACAGCTTTCTTTTGGTGGCATTTTATCACCACTGGATTTTTTACTTTTTATTATATAAACAAAAAAAGACCAAAAAGTTTGAACCCCCCCCCCCCCCCCCCCCCCCCCCCCCCCCCCCCCCCCCCCCCCCCCCCCCAGTATTTTCTACTTTCAGTTATAAAACATATCCAATAAAAACATTAAAAAAAAATCAAATTTCTTCGTAAATTTCGGCCAAAATGTATTCTACTACATGTATTTGGTAAAAAAAAAAAAAAAAATCCCATTAACTGTATAATAACTGGTTTTGTGGAAGGTATAGAGTCTACAAACTATTGTATATATATTTGGAAATTGATGAATTCTGATGTACTGACAGCCTCATTTCTTGAGGCCCTTACAATGCCAGGACAGTACAAATACCCGTCAAATTACTTTTTGGAAAGTAAACAGTCTGAAGTGTTTAGAGAGAATACCACACTGAGTAAAAGCACTAAATTTTACACACACACTTAGTACATTTAACACTATGATGGCTCCTGTTAACCCTTTGATCACCCGTCACCCAGTTAATGCCATTAGTAGTGTTGGTGTATAGAATTTTTCACTCATCACTGGCCCTGACGCGAATATCGCTAGTAGCCGTTTTACAGTTAGTGCCCCTTCCAGCCAGGGTCAGCTAGCGTTAGATTGCCCCAAGCCTAATCCACTCGCTGATCATCACCATTACCAGTCCATAGTTTGTACGGATCAATATATTCAAATACGGTGCTAAATAAATACAACGTGCATATGTGAATAGTGAAAACATAAAATTGTGTTTCGTGACAATAATATGTGCAATAAGATCAATATATTGATCACGAACAAAACTATACTAGTGCCCCCTTAATATAGTGTCCCCAAAAACGCAGTGTTGGCAGGATCAGCCCCGTTTCTCTGCCAGCACTAGAATTTAGCCCCTCTGCTGTTTTTCACTGAAAATTTGGGCCAAAGCAATTTAAACACACAACAATACATCGCCGCCCACCCAAATGTAGCTCTTGCCAGACAGTTCGCATGGGAATCTATCACGGTTTCTGAATCCAAAACGGTTTTGCGTCTAACCCTCAACATGGGCATTACAAAAAAGAATTGCGGTCATATTGGTCCACAGATCCAATTCATCATATGCCCATGCGCTCTGCTGCCATGGCCAGGCATAGATATGAGATAATGCACTTCATGCATTTCAATGATAACATACTCATGAAAAAAAATAAAAGAAAATTACATATGCGCCCAACAAGAACCAGCAACGTACTGGTACGTCGCCGGACTTTGAGTGGTTATACCAGAATGCCTGAAGCTACGTGCATCATCCTGGTATCAGTTTTTTCAGGTGGCGGTCGGCTTTCAAGTAAAACATTCCTAGTGACCAATTAGCCGCCAGGTCACTTTTACAAGCAGCAGCAAAGAATGTCATCACCTCCCCACCCCTTGCCATCTTCCATAGCTTTCCATGGCATTGTCGACTGACCATAGAGCTGATCAGAGACTGGCTGATCGGAGATCGGAGGCTCCATTCATCTCTATGCTCTACGAAACTGGAAGCAATGCGCATTTCATCATTTTGGTTTAGCCAGATATAAACAGGACCATTTGTAAACTGGGAAAGCATCTCATCACACCAATCTTGGTGTGAGCAGGTGCTTTAAGGGCAGAGGAGAGTCTAATAGTCCCCAGATTTCTCTGAAAAGAGTACGTATCACTGCCAATTGACATCACATGGGATATTTACATTCCCTGTGATGACAATAAAAGAGATCCAAAAAAGAAAAAATTAAAAAGGAACAGTGTAAAAATAAAAAAACAAAATAAATGTTTTAAAAAATCACTCCCACCCAACCCCCTGCGTGCAAAGCTGGATGCGGTCCCATGCTGGTATGTAAACATTGAACCATGCATGTGAGGTATCACCACGAACATTAGCTTGAGGGCAGTAATTCTAGCACTAGACCTCTGGTTTAATGTCTAAAGTGGTAACCTGTAAAGGCTTTTAAAGCATCGCTTATGGATATTAAAAACGTACATAGTTTGCTGCCGTTGCCCGGCGTGTACAATTTTAAAGCATGCCATGTTTGGTATCAATTTACTTCGAGTAACATCATCTTTAATAAATTACCAAACAATTGGGCAATATATTGTGTTTTTGAGCATTAAAATTCAAAAATTGCATTTTTTGGAGTTTTTTTTTCATTTGTGTTTGAAAAGAAAAAGAAAAAAAAAAAAAATCGCTGCACAACTTGCAATACCCACTATTTTATTCTCTATGGCCTTTGCTTTAAAAAACATATAATGTATAGGGGTTCCAAGTAATTTTCTGGCAAAAAGAAAAATGGTTTTTTTTCATGTAAACAAAGTGTCAGAAAAGACTTCAAGTGGTTAGAAGAGTGGGTGGTGTGCGGCATAAGCTTCTAATGCTGGCCCTGAAATGCAGGATAGTAAAAGCACCCCCACCACCCCCACCCTTTCCCAACTGACCCCTTTTTCAAAAGTAGACACTCCAAGGAATTTAAGAAAGAGCATGGTATTTTGCAGATCTACTTTGTTGTCACAAGTTTGTGGTTTTCGGGTCTAAAAACCTTGTGACACACAAAGATATCTGCAAAATATTCACCATGCCTTTTATTACATTCCTTTGGGTGTCTACTTTCCAAAAAGGAGTAATATGGGGGGCGTTTGCACTATCCTGGCATTTTAGAGCTATCAGAAACTGTGATAGGTACTGGGGAAGTGACATAAGGAAATATGCCCTTTGAAAGCCTGAAGGTGGTCATTGGATTTTGGGGGCCTGTATGTGGCTAGGCTGACAAAAAGGCTCCCTTCCTTGGGCGAAG